TAGAATACTTTAGATCATTCAGGTAGTCTTTATTTATATGTACAAAAGAACAGCCAGTAGTCATTGGATATTGTAGATCATTCAAATAGTCTTGACCTATTTATTAGTACAAAAGAACAGCCAGTAGTCATTGGATATTGTAGATCATTCGGGTAGTCTTGACCTATTTATTTATAGAAAAAAACAGCCAGTAGTCATTGGATACTGTAGATCATTCAGGTATAGTCTTGACCTATACATTTGTACTAAAAAAAACAGCCAGTTGTCATCTTCACATAACACACACATAAACGAATATCAATTATATGCTTACGAGACATGTTGGAATGTTAAACTAATTACGGTATGTGAAAATCAAGACTTGCATAAAAAATATCACAATATTAGAGACAGTGGCGTCATTTTTTCTCAGAGCTTTCAGCTCTTTGATTAATATATTCTCTTGTCTGCATTTCTATCTGTAATTTCAATCCATTGAATTTACATTTTCGATTGGTTTGTTATTTGATTATAATCTCTTAAGAAATACACACAACTATATAATTAATGCAAGATATTAAGCATTGGGTTTCTTTGAAAATGTTAATAACAAAAACAATGCATATTTTATCTGAGTTTCAACCAAGATCATTGAACTTAAGTTATTATAACCTGACAGAAACTAATGGCTTTTCGGGAGTGGTTTGCAAAACTTTGACACTCAACAAGTGAATTGACGACACATTCCTTTCATTAATGCACAATAATCGACTTGTAGATTTGAATACTTTGAAGACATTTTTTTTTTTAAATTGAGAACAGTAGATATCGAGAACAAATCAAATACTTCATTATATAGCTTTGACGACATCGTTTAATAAGATTTAAGGACATGTGATACCATTTTTACAGTGTTTCATTACCGACTTAACATTAAACATATTCAATGATTCTTTAAGCGCTTCAATTCAGTTTGAAAATATGCAGCAAATTTTATTTATACTTCCTTTTCTAGTCAAAAGCCTATTTCCAAAAAATCCGTTTACTACGAATTATGATTATTTGTTGTTTTAGATAAAAATTATATGTCAATAGTTCATCAATACAGGGTTCATTTATGTAAGGACTAATGTCACCATTGCATAATATTACAAATATAAATACTGATAATAATTTTGATATCTCTACTAATATACAAAGTACAAAAAGCATGTCACTCTTACTTTACCGTATTGAATCTAAAACAAATCTATATTAATAATAATAATAATAATAATAATAATAATAATAATACTAATAATAATAATTATAATTATAATAATAATAACAATAGTAATAATAATAATAATAATAATAATAATAATAATAATAATAATAATAATAATAATAATAATAATAATTAGACAATAATAATAATAATAATATATAATTATGACAATAATAACGTGACCGAACAACACATTAATACAAGAATGCGCGTAGCGCATGCGATAATTATCAGTGTTCTTCGGCCACGATTTGAACATTTTTTGATATTTGAAACTGGGATAAGTTTTTTTTTATGAAATAGATTTTTATGGAATTAAAGTAGATACATCAAAGAACTATATTTTTTCAACGGATTCTCAATTTGTTTGACAAAATCCGACAACGTCTCGAAAACACCCATGTTGTTTGACGTCAGAGGAGTGAAATTATTGGATTTATTCCACATGCGAAATTGTCCGTTTTCATTTCACTAGGAAATCACGGTATTTAATTGCAACCAAAGTAATAAGCAGATATATCAATAACAATAAACAAATAAATAAAAATTTAGTTAATGAATAAATAATAGATACATGAGTAATTAAGAGAACTATAGCAATAGAACAACGCAGACATGTGAAATATCGCAAAATTAAAACAGGGATATACAAAAACGCGACATGAATATTAAACTTAGCGGTACAAATTTTTTTGCACCAGATGTGCACCCTTTTAAAAAATATGTGTGATCTCACGGTGCTCAAGAAGTGTGAGCATTTACTAGTGCTTTAAAATAGTGGTATTAACTCCATTCATTCCCCTTAAAAAAATGCATCCTTTGCATAAAATTAAGATCATCATGTCTTCCAACAATACCGGGATAAGGAGTGATTATGGCGTTGAAAAAGTTCCTAACATTTATTTTTCGAAAAAATTCTGTCATGTTACTTTGTACAAAACATTAGAATACAGCGTCAGTGAATTTGTATAGTGAGAGATTTCCCAGTTCTTAAGAAATTTTAAGCAATTAGAGAGCATTTACTCATTAACATTATAAGACAATAGAGGAGAAAGTGAATGATAAAGATAAAGATTTTATTGCAAATAATGATTAAAAAAATATTAAAAAAATGTCAATGTAAAAAAATATAAACTTTTTGTATGAGATTTACAAAGTGGGAATGGGCGAGATTTAACGAGCCCTTCAACAGTTTCATGACGAATACAAAAAAGTCGATATTTTTCTAAAATTGACCTGATATTGTTTTTATACTGCAGCTAAGAATGGGTACAGTTATAGTTATTATAATTGCTTAAACAAAAATAATATCTATTTTCCATTCCTAAATAAAGAAAACAGTAGTATACCGCTGTTCGAAACTCATAAATCGATAGAGATAAAAACAAATCCGGGTTACAAACTAAAACTGAGGGAAACGCATCAAATATAAGAGGAGAACAACGACACAACAAAAACGCAACATTAAAATGTAACACACACAGAAACGAACTATAATATAACAATGGCCATTTTCCTAAACGAGCCCAAGATTGGAAAGTAGTCACTTGCTTATCATTCAAGGGAAAAGATGTACCTTTATGCATTACACTAAAATAACCTGTAAATCCATGCATTCTTTCGTGCATTGATCATTTCGATTTTTGAATGACAACCAAAACTGCGAGGTTAATTTTTGGTACTAGTATTTTAGGAAAAGCTACATACAAATTAATGCTATCAACATTTTAATTACGATTTTTATTTTGCGAAACCACCTACCACGTGGTAGATTTTGCAATAATAAAACAAATATATAGTAACTTCTACAACTTTGCTATTGATAGTCATCGACTATCGTTCACTTGCAGGATTTCTAAAAATAAGAAGATGTGGTATGATTGCCAATTAGACAACTCTCCACCAGAGACAAAATGACATAGAAGTTAATAACTATAGGTCACCGTACGGCCTTCAACAATGAACAAAACCCATACATGCCCATTTTAGTCATTCAACAGTGTTGTACCCTGCATAATCGTACCAAAATATGAGAATTGTGCACACCCTGTAGTTTGAAAACAAGCTCTCATTCAGATAATTTTATCATATTTTGGTTCAAACCACATTTCTTAAAGTATAAAAAACATACTAAAGTATATTATTTTTATAGTTATATACCTTATAATATGTAAAAAAATAAAATGATTAAAAAAGGACACGGCAATAACGCAATTTGGATAAAAAAAATGTTAAGGTAAACACAAAATAGTTGACTCAGAATGCCATATTACAATACAGTTTAGGATAAGAAAATGAAAATGTCAAGTCTACTTTGAGCAATTTCAACAGATGGAGTTTCTGACAAATTTGAACAAGATGGCAGTCAATGTCATACGACAGTTCAGAAGGGACGTACGTAAATGCACATTCAATTCTGGTTTATATGACAGTGCATAATGTATTTTATTTGTTTCAGAACGCAGAATGTTCAACCCGGAACAGCAAAGTATATCTACGGTATAATGTATAGATAATTTTTATCAGTAAAATGAAATAGTGTGTTAAAAACTTTCCTGATGTAATAGCTATGGTATAAATTGACATGACACATTTGCGCTGCCGAACATTTGCAAAGACAGCACGATCTCTAGAGAACACATATTTCAGTGTTGTAGTAGTGTTACAATGACACTTATCTGTAAATGCTACCCCAACACTGGGATTAAGTGTATCATAGCAACATCTGAAATAGGGAGGATAACAAAACATATAGATTAAGGTAGGTTAGTGAATATATCACAATTTTTTATCTACTATAAATATCTAAATATGTCGTATGATTGCCAATGAGACAATTCTCCACTAGAGACCAAATGACGTAGAAGAAAGCAATTGTCGGTCACCTTACGGCCTTCAAAAGTGAAAAATCCATAACACATAGCAAACTACAAAAGGACCCGAAGTGACAAATGTAAAACAATTCGGCGGTTTTGCTTAATATATATAATTTCATTGCATGAATGTCTTCAGATTCACAATATAAGATCTTGAGAGGGGTTTCCGTCAGCTGTTTTTGTTTCAGATATGGTTCGTTCCTATAAACTGACTCATTTTGTATCACATGGTATTGAATCTGCAATTTAATACAACTTTGGACACCATGACCGTGTGTTGTATTTTTGATTTGGTCGTTTAAGATAAGTGAAATATAAAAGACTTACATAAAAGCACCATCAAATTTAGGTTAGATCACCGCTTTTTCATGACGAGTGTCTTCACCAAATCGCAATTATCTATTTACAACCAATATTACATGGCATGCATTTTCCTTTTCGCCAATGAATTTGGAATTTGAAAATTGCCATTTAATACCAAGGACATTGTGTTTTTCTCGTTCCTAAATAGCAGTTTAAAGTTTGGTGCAGCAGAAACTTTATATCATTAAGAAAACGGCCCTAAAACATGTAAAACGAATTTAATCTGGAAAAATGTTTTTATTTTGGTTAACCATGATTAGACATCCAATCTGAATATGTTGTAGATAAAACATAGATGGAAAATTTGGACTGATTGACATTTAAGCGAGCTGAATACAACCAAAATACAATTATTGTTTTCGAGCGTTTTTAATTGGTATACCTTTCTTAACAGAATGACGATACTTATCTATGCTTTTTTCACACCAAGCGCTTACGTAATCAGTCACATTTATGGTTATTGCATTACTGAATATCTAACTGAAAACATTCACATTAATAAATATTAAATATACTCAAGTGCAACATTTTATTCAAAATATGAACAATACAAATTTAAAGCTTAATATACATAATTAACAAGGAAAATGTCATGCTTTCTGCTTTAACGTCAGGAAATGATGTTACATGATCTCCGACGTAATATGTATAGTCCTTTTGGGATATGATTTATCTAAGTGGTTGACTAATTAGTTATGTCACTTACCAAGAACAAGCAAGAACACATTGTTTAAGTATTTATGCCTTTTTAGTATCGAAACTAATGACAACTGTTTTCGAAACCTTTTTCAAATAGCGAAAATATCAAAAATGAGATTTCGCTAAAGTCAAAATGCTGAATTTGGAAAAACAACTCAATTAAATGTGACTCTTTAACACCAAAAAGAGAAAACATAATCAAGACCTCACCATAGAAAGAAAATGACATCGGAATTGACATTGTACTCGATTAGCTTGAAAAGCAGGAAGAAGCATTTGCAGCGTCTATCAGCATCTCTAAACTAATGCATAACCTTTGCATTCAATAATTTACATATCTTCCCTGGTTTTAATCTCAGTTATTCCTTTATTATCTTATATAAAAATATTGATGTTATTTGGAGTTTTTTTTTCTATCGAACTTGTTTGATCATAGTCGACAAAGCCATTTCTGTAAAGAATAAATGGTTTTCTTTTAAAAAGTTAAAATAAATTAAGAATTGATAATTGTATATAGCTTTTACGGCATCCATGATATATCGGACATAATCGCATTATAATGACACTGTTGAGGTTATCTCCTTCATATTTCAGTACAAATCTTCATATTTCAATACTAGTACCATTCTTTTGTTGGAAAAAAAGAATGCAAAACTTTATAAATTTCATGTGGTCGAAGCACTTTTCTGGATTTGCTTTCATCAGCAATGTTCAAAGTCGAATACTTGAAAGTCCATGATGTTTAAGAACCGAAACAGTTGAAAAGCTATACGACAAAAAAAAAAAGCCAAGTCAATCTAACTAAGCCAAAGGGAGTTTAAACCTTAGTTTCATAATTATTTCCAAATTTATAATTGGACAATTTAAGAAAGTTTGTTATAAATCAGATATACTTAAATGTTATTCACATGTACAATTAATTGACTAGAACATGCAATTAGAATTAGATTGCCATTGACCTTAATAAAACCGTACTACAATCTGTTATGAAAAGGTTTCTGAATAATGGAACTATGATGCAGATCAGTTTTGTTACGTTGGACGGATTTTATTTCTTGTCCTGGCTATCACGATGGCAGCAACTAGTGTAAATATCTGTAATAAAATATTCATCACTGTAAAAAATGACGTGAGATTAAATGGTCAGGTACAAAAGTTCAGTTAGATAAAGATTTTTTGTTCTAAATGTACAATCATTAAATACGATTTCTCTATCTCTACAGTGATATGTGATATCAAATAATGCGTTGCTCCACCCATTACAAATATCTAAAAGAGAGTACAGAGATAAATCTTTTATGTGAACTATTTTTAAAAAATGCACTATGGTTCATACTTTTCAAGTACATGCAATCTAAATGATTTACCTTGTTGATTGACTTACATTTGTCAAACAGAATAAAATCAGCTCACCCCACCAACAAGCCTAATTATTGGCGTTCAAAATATTAATTTTTTCATCCGTTACATTTTTCCAAATAACAGTATATCCTGTAAAATGACAATGAACGTACTAACCCAACATAACTATGGAATATTGGAGGAAGCCTACAACCTAAAACGGTACTTAACTCGCTAAAACAAGGGACCTGCGTGGTCAATATTTGAACGTGTGTTAATGCAATTTCAAGAAAAAGATAGTACAACAACTTTGGATTTTGCTATAGATAGAATTAAACAGTTTTAGCAGTACATTAATCAGACCAACCTGCAGTGTAGCAATCGCGACTGAAATGCCTAATATATAATCGTTGTATTGTAATATCAAGTCCAGGATATGTTCATAACAGCCCTAGAAAAAAGATTAAATGACATAACAAATAATTGAATTTATACATTTATCCCTAAAAAGTTAAAAACACTTCAAACAGAGTCGGTATGTTTGACTTTGAAATACTTTTATTAGAATGATATCACTGCTGGTGTATTTTACCCTTGAAAGTATATTTTGAAGGCATTATAGTTAGATGTTCGAAAATCACATATGTTCGACTTCATTCCACATTTTGATCTGCTAAAATCACGAAAATGGTCATCTCAACAAAAGGATAACATAGTCCAAAACATTTAAATGTCTCTTATTGATATCATTTTATATGTGCCATATATTTTTAAAAAAATGGTCCTTTTCACTTTCAGCAAAAGATTTGCAGTCAAACGGATTCCACCTCTTTCATGCCCAAGTATTTCAGTACGAACAAAAGAAGCAAAATGTTGGTACATTTCTTTGAAAATGTAAAATTAACATTACTGTTACATGTTAATCGCCTCGGTTTTCTGTGTTAGTGTGCTCACCACGATTACTGATGGTCAAATTTCCTTCTATGACATGTTCTCTGATTGGCACAAAGGACTCTACGTTTTTTTTAAATTATATAATCGAAGTTATCCAAACGATATCAACATTTTGTTAAACGGTTTTGCACTTTTTTAATATAAATTACAAACACTAATGTTTTTCCAGGATGAAGTTAAGATTTCAACTGTATCAACTTCATTCCTATCGGGAACATTTTTTTTTTATAAAACTTAATAAAACACAAAGAAAAATTACAAATGAAATGATTTGCAAGTAAACCAAACCACTAGTCCATACCTTGTGTGCATGAGAGTTTCCTGTTGTTGGTTGCGTGGGACACGAAGGATCAGTAGGATCACTCTGATCAGGAAAACTTCCTGTTACAATACAGCAAGTGCTAGGTATTTTGTTTGTTGAATTCCATTTCTTGGCAGACGACAGGTCAGTAGAATTAAACACACCACAACAATGAAACTGTTAAGAACACCATACATATTCACATTACAACAGATTAATTTTATGATTTCAAATATTCATTTTCTTCACAGTTGAATTAGAATATATATCATGTAGTTCGTAGAGTGGCTACTGTGTGTTTTTATGCTCGCATCTCCTGTTATGTAAAACATATGTTTTCTGGTTGTACAATTTACCATAGTAAATTAAAGGAATTAAAAGCCATAATAAGGTTATAGACACACGAATAAATAAAGATATCATTTGTTGGATCTGTAAATTATGAATATATTTTGTTTTAATTTCTAGATAAATAAAAACAAACAATATAATCATTGATCTATTTTTAATAAACAAACAACAAAGAAACATCCTCAATGGTTGTGGCCTGTTATCTTCTTCCCTCATGGAAGAAATATTCATCGTATCACACTTTACGGAGTGTTATATGAGTAAGTGAAACGAAATAAGCATTAATTTTTATTAGCATATTCTGCAATGAGCTTCGCAATTGCGACATTTCCATTAGCTATTTGCTAGTTAAAGGAACACTTTCAAAGGTCACATCGAACCTTTGGAAACGTAGATCTGTGATTTCTTCAAATATAATCCCGTTTACAAAACACTTGCATGTTTCACCAGAAAATTTTCTTTTTGTCAAATTTGATTCCATTCTGAAGCGCACAAAAACAATAGCGTGGGTTCATGATAAAATATTCTCAATATCGTAAGCGGACTTATGTTCGGATGTTGTGCTGTTACACCACAGTCTTAGGTTAGGGGGAAAGTTGAGCGCTCAAAAACTGTTTAACCCAGCAACATTCTTTATGTGCCTGTCCCAAGTCAGGAGCCTGTAGTACAATGGTTGTCGTTGGTTCATGTCTATCATATTTGTTTTCGTAAATTGTTTTATTTTAAATTAGACCGTCGGTTTTCTCAATTGAATTTTTTCACATTTTTCAGGTCAGGGCCTTTTATAGCCGACTATACGGTATGGGTTTTTCGCATTGTTTAATGCCTTTCGGAGGCCTATAATTGCTTACTACCTTTTCATATTAACTCTGGTGGATAGTTGTCTCATTGGCAATCATACCACATCTCCTCATTTTATATTATATTTAAAGTGAAGCTGAAATTATAAAGTTGCTAAAGTTTCAATTCCCTCAGGCTAAGTTGACCTAAGATGGATTTGGCTATTATTTAGGTCCTTTTTGGTTATATAGCTCTTTAACTGTTTCGATTCTTATACATCCTTCGAATATTCGGCTTTTAGCGTTCCTGGTGAAGGTAAATCCAGAAAAGCGCTTCGGACGCATTAAATTTATAACGTGTAGTTTTCAGCAATGGGTCGATACCTCTGCTGGTGGATTTTCAGTCCCCGAGAGTATCATCAGTTCAGAAGTCAGTACTTCGGTACCGACATGATTTATAACAAACCTTTCTAAAATTTTCCGTTTATAAATTTTGAAATTATAAAGAAGATAAGGTTTCAACATCCTCAGGCAAAGATTGCATTAGACGGATTTAGCTATATTTTTAAGGTCCATTTTGGTTATTTAGCTCTTCAACTGTTTCGATTCTTATACATCCTTGGCTTTTAAATATTCGGCTTTGAGCATTCCTGATGAATGAAAATCCAGAAAAGCGCGTCAGATATATGCAATTTATAACGTGTTGTTTTGATTTTTTGTTTTTGCGAAATTGAAAATATTTCACCATAACATTCATTTTAGCTAAGAAAAATAGGTTAAACAACTCTTGAGATTTGAGTATCGCTCGATATCAAGGCAAGTTTATTATTATTATTGAAATTAAATAACTCGAGTACATATCAAGAGATATCCAAGTCTCACTCGTTATGAAACCTTTAAGTATACACAATATGACAAAGAGATATGAAGAAAGAATAGTACATACTGTAACAAATGCGTAGTTCCATGCCACGGATATCGAATCTGTCGCTGTTGATCCAGCATATTGGTCATTTATTGATAACTTCAAGGCACTTTTCAGTTGAGATTCCACCTTGATAATGAAATAAAAATACATGCTTTAGAAAATTGTTTGAAAATCAAATACTTGTCACAAAACGTACAAACCTAAAGCATTACAGTTCTACACAAACGAGTTAAGTTAAAAAGATACATATTCTTCTGATCCCCAAAAGAAACCAAAATGTAATTAATAACCTAATGTTTCTTGTTGCATACATTTCCTTAGCCCTATCTAACACAACTTTTCGGAAATTTCTATGCCTGAAGTAACATTTTAGTATTTCGAAAAATTAAATATTTTATGAACAGTAAGTTTACAAAAAGGAACATATCAGTGATATTTCATTTCAACACAAAAGTGCTGACTACAGGAATGGTGATACCATCGGTGACAAAACGTTCACCAGCAGTGTCATCGACACAGTGATTGTAAAATCTAAGTAAGATACCAAGCGTATAATTTTTCCACCATACGCGAGTTTCGTCTATATAAGACTTATCGGTGGCGCTCGAACAAGTTGGAGGGCCAAATTAAATACGAATTTGAGGGTCATTTATACCGAAAATTTAGAAAAGTTGTGCCAAATAAGACTAAGACAATCTATACCTGAGGGTAGAAAAAAACCTTAATATTTCAATTATCCAACATCTTATAAACTGTAGATTTACATAAAATTCAAATATCAATCTTAGTCATTCACAATCAACTAAATGCTGTGGAACAATACGTAGATCAGCTGTTAGTCGTATTAGATATTGCAGATTATCTTTATTTCTGACACAGTAATTCTATATTTATATACATAAAACAAATTATTCCTTTTTAACAGAATAAGATTTTCAAATATTTACAGTATCAATTATATAATATCAATATAAAACATAAATTTAAAATTATCATAACTGTACCATACTCTTGACAATTTGAAGAATATAATAAATGATGTGTTTGAGCTTTTAATTTTGCCATTTGCTTAGGGACTTTCCGTTTAGAATTTTCCTCGGAGTTCGGTATTTTTGTTATATTACTGTTCACTAATGAGAAGTGTAATTGCAAAATTGTTTGCAGATGCTTTCAAGCAACTTAACAGACAAAACATTGACTTTCGCATAGCTAAGAAAGGAATAACATTTTTCTTGACAAACATATTACTTGCACTACGTTTATACCCGTACTAAATAATCGGTTGATGTCTTCGTGCTCCATATCGTATGACTATAGCTCAGATTTAATGATTGAAACATGAAAATGAGAGCTTTAATATAGAAAACTGATCAAATTTTGTCAATTTGAAAGTTGCATTTTCGTTGCTTTTTTTTTCTTAAATTAAAAACAAATCCGAAAAGATATTGTAAGACTAGAATTCAGTATTCTTTCTAATATTTAACATGTAAAATTAAGGTAAAAATTAACTACTGTTAAAACAACAACACACCTTACGATTTTATATGTCTGTTATCAAAGGGGCATTATCTACGATTTAGAGAAATATTTAAAATACGAATCTTTTCATTACAAGTATATATCAGAACTCGATTTTTTTTCAAATATAGCACGTATAATTTAGATATAGATAAAAAGAGATGATAGTTAAAGATATAAGACAGATTGAAAACAGCATAAAACAAATGAAAAGGGCAATATGGAGTTAAAATCAATGCGGCAACAATACAAATAATCCATGAAAGACTTCTAGATAACATGCCGTATACTTTATTATCACATATTTTGTACTGATATGTACGTTTTTGCATGGCCAATAATAGCCGGAAGTCAAGGTTGGTTATCAGCCCTCGGGGCCAATATCGATATCAGCCCTTGAAATCCATATCAAGCCCCCGAGTTTAACTTCCGGTAACCTGTCAATCAAAAACTATTTGTAAACAAGTTGTCATCCGAAGCAGTTACACGATCAGGAGAGGTTTCTCACAGATCAAATGACGATCTATGTAATACAAGAAATGAAAAATGAGAACACAATGAAAAGAAATTTAGAAATTTACGAATCTGCTGTAGTAGAAAAAATGTAAAAAATCAACAGTGGAAATCACAAAAGTTCCCGTAAAATTTGGACGTCATAAAGAATTTAGAAAATATATGACGTCACAATGAAAAAGCGATTGTTGTATGACATCGAAAGTTCAAGCGGAACATATTTCCAAATCATAGTAGCGATATGGTGTATTCTTCGTCAGCATTAATTGGAAATGTAACACTTTTTAAAGTCGTTTAATATTTTCAATTCTGGGAATTAATATATTTATTGTTAATTATTTGTTAAACTTTTCACAAAACTTTGTTTACTCACTGGGATACGAACTTTGTTAACTCACTGTGATACATTTTTTAAATTTTTTTCGTTAAATGTTTTTTTGAATTTTTGTTGAAAATATCAAACATAATTTGGTATATACTATCTTTTTTCTCTTGCTTGAAAATATGTGATAAATAGATTATTACATGTCATTTTCCATATGGTCCGTGGTATCAGCCCACGACCCATATCAAGCCCTCGGGCTAAAGCCCTCTGGCTTGATATGGGAGTCTAGGGCTGATACCAGGGCCAATATGGAAAATGCCATGTAATAATCTATAACTATTGTAATATAAGTTTTAATAAAAATGCAGCGCCTGCAATTATCTGAATGAAAATGTTGTTTTCCTCAAAATCATGAAAATATATATAAACAGGATTAAAAAGTATTGATATCTACTTCACTTTTTATTTACATATTTTTAATATTAGATATAATTAAGAGCTTTATTCGTACAATTAAGACAAATATTGCCAGATATACATATGTTTGTTAAAGGATGAATTTCAAAACAACATGAAAACTCAGCTATTAAAAACGCATTAGTTGTAAAACTTATTGAAATATTTTTAATAATATTATAAGTTATCTACGGATATGAACGTAGATAAAGAATTTATTCCCGGTCTTAGTCCAAATCTGGCAATTTTTAGAGAAATTCGACCACAAAGTGTAACGTGAAAGCAACGTTTTTTTTCATTTTATAAAAATCTTGTATTGAAATTTGGGGATTCGACATATTTTTTACGGGGTGTAGGGTACTACCTTTGGTAGAACCCTACAGGTATTTAAATATAAGACGTTTTTAATCCGGAGACAGAGAAACTGGAATGGGTCGAATTTGGCGCTCAATGTTGTGAGAGTTACATCATAGACGGTGTAACGTCAACGTGGGTCATTTGCATAGCTAGGTCAGTAGTTCCATTCATTGACAATGTGGCAGCCAAGTGATGCATTTACTAAAATGAGTGCAAATGATCGACATAATAAGATAAAATCGTTAGTTGATTAAATATCTAATTACAGACATCATGGATATTCTACATAATTCTATATTTCACAAGAAACAACCATGGAACTAAGAAAAACGCGCGTGACGTCCACCGGGGTAATGGATAGCAACGTCCGGGTATATGGGCTAGCAACACCCAGGGGCTATGGGTTTTGTAACGACGTGCGTTAACCAATCAAAATCATAGAAATATACTAAGCCGGGGATAAAAGCAATTATCACCAGGATCGACAGAAAACGCGCTATTTTTTACTAGATATTGCTTAATTGAACTGTAATATATAACATGAATCCACGGTAAACAGCGGTTTCGTTCGCTTCGGGATGTTGAATACTGTGTTGATTGCGAAGCTAATGAAGGCACCACGTACACAGCGTCGAGTTCAGAATGTACTCGATAGGTGCGCATTGATTAATCGTTGTATATTTTCGAGTCACAAAAGTCCTGTAAAACATTTTGAGCATAAAAAGGACAGTAAAAACCATACAGGTTAACGTCACGCTAGAAATGTGTACAGTTAAATATAAAAATTTAGAATAACAATTATGTATATTATCAAAATCATATTTACAGTATATTTCCAGGGTAGTTGACGCCTTGGAAACTATCAATCTATCAGCAGTGATATGGAGCAAAGTAATACAATTATGTGTTTTCTTATCACATGATAGTTGTTTCTTGAATAGTCAACACGTGAGACTTAAATGTTGTCATCAACTTATGAGTTTGAATATCTTCCACCTCTGTTCTAAAGTTTGGTGTTTCTACTACACAAAACATTTGGAGGCATACACATAAATCGGGAATAAATTTAATCAATAGTGTAAAACCGATGATCAAACCTCATACATCGATTAAAAAGATACAAACCCAGTTAACAAACACAAGATAATGGAATTATCTAAAATGAGTGAGACCGGGTGCGTCGACGTGTAGGGTAAGGATCACCTGCTATGCATCTATCATCCGCCACTCAGTCAAAATGTCATAATCGGGAATAAGACACAATCGGGAATTGTACACCGTCGGTAAAATAACAAATGAGACGACTATTCTGATGTCTAAAGATCTAAGACCACGAAAACATGTCGTTAGTGAGTTGAGACATAGACTCATCGTATCGGTCAACCAATTCGTGATGGTCACAGTATAAAACTTGTGTAGTTTCGACTTCGGTCTCTCTTTTTTTCATAGATCTGTTGGAAAAGAGGGACGCAAGATACCAGAGGGACAGTCAAACTCATAGATCGAAAACAAACTGACAACGCCATGGCCAAAAATAAAAAAACAAACAAACAAATAATCGTACAGATGATACAACATAGAAAACTAAAGACTAAGCAACACGAACCCCACAAAAAACTAGGGGTGATCTCAGGTGCTCCGGAAGGGTAAGCAGATCCTGCTCCACATGTGGAACAGTCTTTGTGTAAGGCACATAAACCCTAGCAAATGAAGTATATGTAGTATTAGCATACACGAACCATGTACAATATTCCAGAGCTTTACAATTCTTGGCATGATGTCCTTGATAAGGGGTTCCTGCCTACAAGGAAGCTATTGAACAAAGAGTTCCACGTGGTGGAATTGAAATAATCCCTTCGAAAATTTTACGGACGCCATCACAAGTTGGTTGACCATTATGGGATATCTGTTTCATAATTGACGACGGATATGTTCCAATTGTCGTAACCATAATCCC